TTGTACAAAACCTATTGTTCTGTATTTAAAATTAAAATTAAAAGTCATTAAAACAGACCTTAGAAGAACAGACTATACCATAACCCAGAATTTAACTGCTATTTTTCAGTTTCAGGTGTTTCCAGTCTAGCATTGTAACATATTTTTTTTTTTTTTGAAGGAAAAGGAGCATCTCCCTCAATTGCAGTGGAATACTTCTGTTGGTTTTTAAGTTGCTTTTGAATAACTTAATATAGAACAGTTTGTCACGTTTGTGCTCAGGGGGAGACTCAGTGCCATAAGGGAAATTGGTCTTCCCTAGAATAGGAGAAAATGTCAGAAGAGGGAACACATAGATGTAAAAATTTCAGCAAAACCAATACAATCTCTTTAAAGCTAGTTCCTCATTAATCATGGTATTTTTTAAGGTCAAAACCAGGCAACATTATATCATTGATTAGTTTATTTTATTCTACATATATGTTCTGAGCTAAATTACAACTAAAAATTATTTGACAGACAGCATGCTAAATGCACTCAGGAATTTTCCTTATTTGGAAATTTCAAGGGGAGACTTTTTGGCACAAGGCTTCATCTAAATGAACAAATTTCACAATTTACTACTTCAGTAATGTTTTTTGAACATTGTGCTGAAATCATGCCTGTGTCTGGAGAAGTTTAACAGCCTCTGGTCTAGACAATGTCATCTTAATGTAGAAGAGTTTATACAGCATCTACTCCATCTTCTGTCTGGCCTAAAGCAACATTATTATTCCTTTTTTTTCCCAGGCTTTAAAATCAATCATTTTAAGAGATGAAAGAAATAACGGCAACCCTTTAATAAGGCCTTGCCATTTCTTTGGCTGGAAATGAAAATTAAGGTTCTTTTCCATAAGGAAAAAGTGAAAAAGGTATGAGGATGTGGTCAATCTCGTTCTTCATGCAAACCAATACCAGGAAATACAGACTGACTTCAGAATAGCCCATTTCCAAGCCAGCATCCTGCACAAATGAGCTCACAAGGGAAGGCTCAAATCCAAACAATCCCTAATTATGAGGGTCTGTGAGAAGGATCACTGGCTCTTTGGAGAGGCTGAGATGACCCATAATATTGACTGAATCAAGAAAAAATACAGAGGAATTTTAAGGAGACTGGTTTTGGAGGAGATGCAAGGGTATAGCTATGGAGGACTAGAGTTTATCAGCAAGAACATACCTCCCAGAAGGAGTTGACTGGCATGAGGTCCCATTTACGCAGCACTTGGAAAATGGATGTGTGCTCCTAAGATATAGGTGTGCATTTGGTCTGACTCCCTTAAGGAGAGCTACCAAGGAGAGCTAAAGGTCCAGAATAGTATGGGATAATCGGAAATGTGTTTGATAGCTGGATTTTTCAGTTTGAGGATCACCAGGAGCTTTCCTGGAGAGAACAGTAGAGAGTTTTGGTCATCCTGACTGGAGCGGCTATGTAGACAACTCTTCCTCCTCTCTATAGGTGATATAACAGGTTTGTAAAGGGGTTGCTTGGGGCTGCCAGAGAGGGAGTCCACACGTATTCCATCACAGAGCATGCACCTAACATAGCCCGAGTAAATGTGTGGGAATCTGGTCTTTCATGGTAAGGTTCACAAGTAGGTGAACTCCGTTTTCATGCCACCTTCAGGCTCACTGACAGCCCAGTCTCCACTCTTGATACAGCCCATCTCCAGATCATTTCTGCAGTTTCTCTGAAGCCTGCTAGATCATACTTGGCAAGGAGGAATGTTTTCTCAATCCCCTTGCACATGAATGCTGAAGTTTCCTGCAGGTGAGGGAGTGAATGGTGCTATTCTAGGGAAGAGGATTTTCTTCAGAAGATATGAGGAACAAGCCAAAATCTACCAGGAGGAAAATGTCTGTCTCTCATGAGTGTTTATGTGGTGAAACTAGGATCTTAGACCACTTTCATGGTAGAGAAGAAGAACTCACGGCATGAGGACGGATGCCTGGCTACCACCTACTTTCAGTGGTCTACATCACAACCTGGACTTGCATGCTGTTACATGCTGAATATAGAGGCAGTTTATGGTAATTAGGTTTGTAAATCAGGCACCTCCAGACAATATGCAATTCCATCAGTCAGCCTTTCTATCTGCATGTTTATCAAAAGGTTTCAAGGCAAACAAACAAGATTTTTCTACAAAAGAATTTTCTCAGCCATTCTGAACATTCTAAGAAGGAGTTCATGAGACGCAATTCTGTTTTTCCTCAGCCATACCAGAGAAAGGGAAGATGACTTTGCTTTTTTGTCTTCAGCAGAGGTCTTTGCTGGTAGATTGGATGGAGTGGTTTTCCTTCTGCCAAAGATGGTTTATGCAGCATTTCTCATTGCATTAGAGTTTTCTTCTTCTAAAAGATGATGCAGTGAGCAGAACTGACAGTACTTGTCCAGGATCTGGTCTGAATCATTGGCTCTAATTGGTATCTTTGTCCCTTAGCTCCACCTGTATTATCTGAAGCATTACAGGTTTGAATTCTTACAGTTTGTATAATCTGTCTATTTAGGGGTTATATTTCCCCCTCTATTTGTAATATCATAGAATCACAGAATGGTTTGGGTTGGGAGGGACCTTAAAGATCATGTAGCTCCAACCCCCCTGCCATGGGCAGGGACACCTTCCCCCAGCCCAGGGTGCTCCCAGCCCCGTCCAACCTGGCCTTGAACTCTTCCAGGGAGGGGGCAGCCACAGCTGCTCTGGGCACCCCGGGCCAGCGCCTCACCACCCTTGCAGGGAAGAATTTCTTCCTTATGTCTAATATAAATCTACCCTCTCTCAGTTTAAAACCATTACCCCTCATCCTATCCCTACACCCCCTGATAAAGAGTCCCTCCCCACCTTTCCTGTAGCCCCTTTAAGTTCCCTGGGTGGCGGCTATAAGGTCTCCCTCCCTGGAACCTTCTCTTCTCCAGGCTGAACACCCCCAACTCTCTCAGCCTGTCTTGCTCCTCTTCTCACCATGGGTGAAGAAACCCAAGAACTAGATAGCTGGTTTGACAAGTAGTGAAGTATGTTTTTATTCTCCCATAAGAGGATTTGATTTACTATTTTTCTCTTTTCCTCCTGTACTCTGAGATTACTCTCTGTTCAGATAATCAAGATAGCTAACCAAGGACACTGAGTCTTAACAGGAAGAGCTGGCTTGAAACTGAAGTAGCTAGTGCATACAGGCTTGAACAGATCCAGGCGAAGTTGTATAGCTATTCTTTTTACTGGAATGGGAATTTTGTGGCTGCTATTGGTAGAAGTTCAGTATGAGAGTTCTGTGTTCTCTTATCCATATCTTAAAAAAATTACTTTAGGGTACCCACAAAGACATCCTCTGGTTAAAAACCCTAAGAAAAGATACGATTTTACTCCACCAGAAGCAGTTGTGGATGTGACTTTGCCTATAGAGCCAAAAGCTATCAGGCACCCTGCAGTATGATCAGGCTTGAAGGGTCAGTGCCTCAACAAACCACTCTTGCCCCAACTCATTCCTAATGGATCCTGTTTGCATCAAACACGTCGTCTTGAACACTTTAATTTTAATTGGCTCCACAGACCTCTTCCAAGGGGCCTTGCAGACTTTTTGGGTTATGATTCATAATCACTGATACAAACCTTTTAGCTGGAGAACAGAAGTTGCTGTTCCAACTACAGGAGTTATGGAAGGGTGAAACTGTAGGCATTGGTGTCCTCATCTAGGGTCTGCCCTGATTCTAGCTTTGCCCAGGAGTTTACAGGAAAAGCTGTTTTTTCACCTTGGATAGATGGCACAAAATCAATTTCTGAACATTCATCTTGCTGCTGTCTTTGGACTTCCTGCAACAGCCCCAGTGCAGCGGGAATGTGCAGGCAAGGGAGTTCTTGCCTGAAGGGGCAGACCTGGAGTGTAACTGTGATACAGCACCAGGTCACAAAACAGGCAATGAAGAGAATTCAGTTAGTGTCTAATTATTGCATTCAGTTTTGCTCTGTTTGGAAAATATGGTCTGGAAAACATTGCCTTTAATGAAGAAATAAACTCTGTACAAGAAGAGGAGGCTTTTTCGTTAAGGGCTAGGCAGGCTTTGGCTCTTTTCTCTGGTTTTGGGTCATGTTAGCCTCAAATTGCCTTGTTATCCCTATCTGTAGACCAGTGATGATAATACCCTTACTTTTTAAAGCAGTGTGAGATCTGCTTATGAGGCATACTGTATACAGGCTTTACTAGTGTTCTTGTTTGTAGAATATTACTATACACAGAGTTTTAGCAATGTGACTTCAGAATATGTAATGTAATTATTTGTGCTGAGTATAAATACAGTCAAGGCAATGATGTCTGTCTCTGCTGTGATAAAATGACATTATGCTGCTCTGACATTTACCAAAAAAGGCCTCCTTTTTCTATATTGCATTTGCTATGTCACACTGGTGTTCTGCTACAAAATGAAGGTAATGGATGAAAGAACAAGAAAATCATTTTTATTTTATTTTCTAAAAAAATAATATATTTGGTATTAATAGAAGCTTTTCCCTTCAAATCCAGGCTGCATAGCAGTTGTTATACAATTACTAAACTTTTTGCCATCATGTTCAAAGGAAAATTATTAGGCAGAAAAGCCATGGGGTGAAGAAGATGAAATTATATTTTTTTATGGCAGTATGATTCAAAAATATAATTATTGTTTATCCTTTGTGGACACCATCAGTGTTGATAAATACAATTACTTTGTTTGCCATCCCTTGACTAATTCCTAAAGCTTAGGCAAGTCAGCAGTGGAACTAATGTGTTTAACTTCATATCAATAAGAAACAGAAATTGTCACTTAAATATTTGATCTCACCAATGCTTGCTAGCGGTATAGTGCTTATCTTATGTTAAAAAAAATCTACTGAAATCTAGCACTAAATATTAGATGATTCCAGCTAAAAGACACCTTAGGAGGTCATGGTGGATTTCCAGAGCAGCTTAAATAAGGACATTTCTGAAGCTGAAATCTTATTTTTCTCTTTTTGCAGGGATCCCCAGAATTTGTATCCCCCTGAGGTCAGCAATGCAAAGCTTCAGTATGCTGGTTGGGGTCCAAAAGGGCAACAGCTGGTAAGAGAAAGAACAAGTGTGCAAATTAATTTAGAGACCATGCTGCTATTATTTGGAACAAAAGAAAGAATAGTTCTTTATTGACTAGTTTCTTGGAACCTGTGTGGTAGCTTCTAGAACCTTTATGGGGATCGTTTTATCATGTAATTTATTGATAGAATTCCCAAATATACACATTTGATACAAAGTAATTGTGTCTAAAATTTCAGAGAAAAAACACTTTATGGAAGATCTCTGAGAGGATGCATGTGCTTCTCCCAGTGTTGGACACAGGACAGATCATAGACATATTAGTATGATTTAGTTATCATATCACTGCTTCACAAGGGGTGTCTACAGACTTGCAAACTTGGCACTAGGGATATTTTAATATTAGCAGCTCTGTTTGAAGAATGCATCTCTCTAGAACAGAGTTGCCCTGAATTTTCCCTGTAGTTCTTTGCAAAATAGACAAAAATAGAAGTGTATTCTGGAAAATTTTCAGAGCTGGCTTTTAAAAAAACCCACTTGTCAGGTATTCATTGTATTTCATGGAGCCTTTCATACTGCAACAATCCTGAAATCTTCAGTGTTTTGTCCCTCAACCACTGCCATCTTGGATTTGCCCATTTTTTTGAGCACATATTTCCTAGCCAAGTCCCCTGGCTTCGTTTCCTGGTGCAAATCCAATATTAAGGTTTTGCATATTCCAAAAACTCTCTACCATAACAAGAAAAGAAAAACTAGCAACTTCTTTTTTTTGATATAGAAATTTTATACCAATAAATAAGCTTTAAAAGCTCGTTATCTGATAAAATCTGGCATATGTCGCCTGTTCCCAGTCCTCTCTTGGGGAATTTTTGTCTCTGTTCTTAACTAGATTGTTTTCAAATTTTGTGATTTAAAAAACAGCAATAGGAGACATTATAATTGCCAGTCTGCAAATCAGGTTGGAAACATAACAGATACAGGAACAGGAAAAGTGTGTCCTGTGCTCTACTGGGAAAATCAGGTTTGAGAGAGTCATCAACCTCAAACCTGATAGAAGTGGAGATGCAGGAGCCTTTTCCTCTATGCAAAATGACTTCTGAGGAGCTAATTTTTTTCATTGCACATATGTACATGCTCCGCTTTTAACCTCTAACATGTGCCATTTCAAATTCCTTAATCTGCTGCCCAACAGATGACTGCTGAGCAGTTTGTGCTGATTCACGGGGACTGAGGTCTGATCATGACTAAACTCTTTCTTTCATATTAATTGGTGAGCACCAATGTGATCTCATCATCAGCTTCTGGCCAACTGATGATAATGCACAATCAGTTGATAACACACTACATTCAAAACTAGAGACTACCTTTAGGACATGGCAAAGAAAGCAAAAACAGACCAATTATTTTTCATCCACTGTTCACTAGCTTAATTCCTGTACTTAACTTCCACCTTGGAAAGAAGATTTAAAATTTTTCATACCAAAGTCAAGATAACCAATTTACTTACTCCATTGCCATCTCTGCCAAAGTAACATAAATGTACAGAAAGGAAAAATATTCATATCAAAATGGACAAATTATATATAAAACAGGATGTATATACAGTCCAGGAGAAGAAAAGTCTTCTTTATTCCATTCCTTAAATGATGGAATAATTGATACCACTTTCCACCGATTTCTATTAAGAAATACACAGTGAAAACTTAATTCCCTAAGATATCAAGTTTAATATATGTCCCTTCTGTGGGACTCATGGCAGATTTTTTTTAAGTAACTTCAAATATTCCTCTTATGATTGAATTCCATGTGGATCTTGGACCTTGGAAATATCTTGCAATGGTGGATTTGTTCTGTGTGTTTCTTTTTTTTTTTTTTTTTTTTGGCTTCCAAATATGTAAATTTGTAAATCTGTTGGCCTGTAATTCGACTGTATTCCCTGTTCTTGCATTTGGAATCAGGGTAGGTGACAAGAACCTCACTGGTAGATTAAATGTTATCTTGCATGCTTCTAACATATGTGCCTTTTTGCTCTTTGTCTTTCCAGTCATTTACCTTAAAATAAAATTATAGCTGTGGTTTATAAAATAAGCAGGATTTTACATACATCAATGTAACTTATTTATAGCTAATGATCAGCAGAGAATTGCCAGAGAAAAAAGAAGCTTTTTTAAAAAAAGATCTGTAAGCAGTATAAATAAGATAGAGAAAATATACAGTGCTCACTGTTCTGTACTTAGGGACTAATTGAGTTACTCAGAATATAATTGACAGTGAAATTCATGTCTCCTTCTGTGGGGACAACATCGAGTGCAAAGGCAGAGAAAAATTAAAGCCTATTTAAACTTCCTAGTGTGAATGTGCTTGCTAAATGTAGGCTGGGTTGTGTTGCAGGAGGAGGAAAAAAATGTCAAGTGGGATGAAAAGAAGTAATGTGCTAGGAACTACATGTCAGTTCCACTGGTTCTAGGTGGCTACAGGGCCAAACACATGTTGGAGTATTTGAGAGTGTCCTATCAGTGCACTGAGGTACCCGAGCGTGGGCCAGCTCTGGTGGTGCTCACAGCAGCACCCCTCTGTGCATAGCCAGCAGCCCGACTGCATGCTGCATCTCCCAGGAAAGGTGGGAGCAAAGGGTGGGTGGGTTTTACATCACCTTAGAGATACCCCAACTTCCAGGAAATAGAGAGTTTTCCCCTTGAAATCTCCTGGTTTGTTCTTTGGCAACACAAAGGAGTGGCAGGGAAGGAGATTAGGTTTTGGTTAGAAATTTTTTATTCCTTTTGTAGCTTCTATTTCATCCTTCCATAGTGAACTCTTGGTCTCTGTGTCTGACCTCTTTCTCTCTTGCATGTCTAATCATTCAAAAAAGAAACAGATCTGAAACAGAAGCAGCCTGAATGGTCTGCATTCTTTGTGATTAAAAATAAACAATGGAATTTTGCCAGAAGCAATTTTCTATTTATCTTGTATTCTTCTGTCCTTACTCATTAAATTATATGCCAGTTTTTAGATGATGAACTCCTCAGAGCATGGTTCTTGACTTCTTACTAGTCTGCAGAATGCCACAGATGCCAACAGAGCTGTATAAATAATGTCTGATATTGGATCTGAGAAAATCTATGTCAGAAGATCAGAATGCAAAAAAGCCCTCACTTCTGGCACCTCGGAAAAATGTTTCAGCCTTTCTCATATCTCAGCCAAAGTCTTAACAAATTAAGTCATACAAATCTGTTGGAACAATTAGGCCCTTACCAGTATGAGCTCATGAGTCAATAAAAAGAGAGCCACCAGCTTCAGTGCAAGAGGAAACACATTTCTTAAATGTGACTGTTATTAAAAGCCTCATTCCTCTCATTTGTCCTACGACATGAGCCATTATTTATGCCTTTGTAGAATGAGTGAAAAACACTGTTAAATTGGAATAGCAGTGTGATATAGTCACTTTTTGTGGATGTAAATGACTATGCAAAATATCTACGAAAAAAATCCATCCTTTCCATGGTGCACCTGACAGCCCAAAGTCGACTTTCGTATTCAGTGGCTTCAGCCTTCAGCATGGTGCTTGGTGGTTTTCAGTGATAGGCTATATTATCCTCAGTTTCTGTGATACTGTCTAGCAATACAAGGATGTTGGTGGCATGATAGGACTGCAAAAAAGTGTTAGCCTGCACCTTTGCCCCGATCTGTGTGTGTTTATCTTTGTAAAAATCTTCACTCCTTAGATTTCTTCTCTTTTTCTGTTCTTGCCATTTATGACTCAACAGCTGCCCACTTTTGGAGTTTCAATTCTGCCCCAAAAAACTTCTGTTAACTGATCTTATGGGAATATTTTACCAGTTTCATCATGTTACATCTTTTAGAGCAAGGTTCTGCTCACGTGCAGAGGGCTCACGTGAATTTTCTGTGGTACATTTGCCCCAGTAGCATCTGTGCAAACATTAATAGTTACTATGACCCTGAACTCAGTTTTCATAAAACTTGTATGGCTGACAGGCTTGGACCCCTCTATTTATCAGAGAAAAAAAAAAAAAAAAAAAAAAAAAAGGTACAGTGTGAAGAGGTTTCCTTTGCTGGTTTGCTTGGCAGCATGGCTGAAGTCAGGGAGTGCTTCAGGGATGGGAGACTGTATAATGCATATCTGTAGCTGAAGTGCTCAAGGAATCCAAAAACCCCAAAGTTTTCAGGAGGCTTTTATCTAAGTTATCCCAAAATTAGCACATTCAGGTTCAAAATATTTGCTTTAAGGACAAGCTAGTTATATACATGGGCCCTATTATCAAAAGGAAAGAGCAAGCAGGACTGCTCTAATAATGTGTGGTGAATATTTGCCTGCATTGTCAAGGCTAAAATACAGTTCACAGGAGTTGTTAAGCTGCAATTTCAAAAGAAGAACTTCTGCTGTGCTGCTATTTTCCTTTTTTTTTTTTTTTTAAATCAGAATCTATAACAGCTCTGACAGATACTAATGATAAAGGTGACACATCAGATGCTGGGAGAAGCAGTTCTGCACAACTTCAGAGGCAGCAGTTATAATTCAAAAATATCTCTCTCATAGATCATAATATTTATTCTTCAGCAAAGAGAAACATTTTTTTGAGATTCTCCTAGCCAGTCAGTCTTTTACTGTTTCCACTGTTTCTTTAAAGTACCAAAAACATACAGAAAGAGGATTATAGTTTCTGAAAGTTTTGTATGCCCTTGCACTTACTGCAACTCCACAGAATGGTCAAAATGGGCTCCTATGTTTATAATCAATAAACCTTTTCCAGCGTCAACTCTTTTGGAGCAGGAACTAACTTTTATTCCTGTAGATTATGCAGCAATCAAGTGTATAATTGGGTCTAAAGTAATAGAAGTTATATTTTACAGCAGGTGCAGAAGTTGCATTAAGAAATATCTATTTCAGTGAAATGCAAATACCAGGAAAAAAAGGAGGAGCAAGTCTTTCAGCCCCTACCATGTTAGGGGTTTGCAGGTGCCCTCAAACAGTTAATGCTAATGCTGTTAAACAGCTAACTTATTATCATATA